GACAGCGAGCTGGTTTTTGTTCTCCCCTTCACATTGCCAACTCCAGCTGTCACACAGAGGGACAATAGAGGAGAGGAGGGGGTGCTCTCTGAATGGGAAAAAATAAACTGGAGAGCCCCCCGTCACACAGCCCCCCCCCAGGACTCGTCATCTGCATTTGACAGGACCCCCGTTCTCCTCTCTTCACCGCCCCTTTTCTTTTTCTTTCTCCTTTTCTCACCCTGTGCTCTCCATAATCCCCCTTTCTCTCTCTCTCCCTGCTAACTGCAGCTGTTGCTCTCCATTGGATCTTTTTTTTTCAGCCTGATTGCTAATTAGGATAACATTTTAGTGAGTTTTATCTTTAAAACTTGTTAAACTTGCAATTTCCCCTCTCCTCCTTCTTTTCCTTTTTCCTTTACTCCTGCACATCATCGAAAGGGAACCAGAGAAAAGACTCAAGCCAATTACACACAATTTACTGAGTATTTTTCTAGACTGCGCCCAATCTCCTGTGCAGCATTCATATACTTTACAACTACTGTACTGTGTGGTAGCCTCTTATTATAGTGCTCACTTCAGCTTTGAATGCAGGAGCCTACTTTGAAGAATAGACCGGCCCATCTCCCTTATTCTGCTCACATAGCTGAATCCCTGGGAGAGGGAGCGGAGGAAAAGGAGAGCCTGAGAAAACAGCAATTCACACACCCCAACACAGAGACCCCTAGTAGCTCAACAAATGAGTGACTAGCCCTGTGCCCATTCATATCGCCCCTCAGCCCGCAAGCCTATTAGCCAGGCATCGCTCCTTGAACATTCACTGTCGACAACATGTGGAGGCATCGCTATAGCAACCAGTGGATATGACATGTGCAATGGACGGGGACTCCTGAGCTGCTGAATATAAGGAGGGGCTCAGCCTTAACTAAACGATCTGCAAAAAAACCCCAGCCCCGCCACCTCCCCATCTCTTTTCATTGGCACAGAGGCGCTGAAAGGACTCACTAGTGGGGCTTCTGCACATTCTTCCGAAGCTCGGAAAATCAGGCGGGCATATCCCACATTCTTCTCCCCTTTTTCTTATTCTCTCCGACTCTCTCGCTCCTTTTTTTCTCCCTTCTTCATCTCGGTGTTGAAGCCGCGCTCTTTTGTTGGCGCGCCGGGGACGCACAGGAGCCGCACATGCAGGGGGAAGTTTTTTCTGTGTGTGTGTGGAGGTGCGGACTGAGTGGGCGGCCGGGGGACGCACAGACGCTTCTTGGAGCTGCATGTGTCGGGTGGTTCGTCAGTGGTTAACCATGCTCTCTGGAATACAAGAGGCAGCGGCAGCAGCAGCAGCAGCTTCATCCCACGTTTACGCACCGTGCGCTCTGCCCCGCGACATGGATTTGGGTAATTATCTCCTTTGGCTCCTGAGCGCATCCTGTCTCTATGCAAGTTTTGTTTCTGTGCAAGTTTTGAATCCGGCGAAATGTGTGAGAAGGATTCTCCTTGAAATCTCGAGATCGTAGCGTCACGTTAAAAGCTCCGAAGACGTTTTGCAGAAATATGTCGGAAGCTGTGGTTTCATTTTTTTGCTAGTTTGGATTCCAACGAGTTCATGGGATAAAATTTGATTTATCGTTGCTGAAATGCGCATGCAAACATATAGTTGATCCAAATATATAAGATCGTTGATTATTACAGTCCTGGATGTTGAGGCCAGTGGTTTTCTGTGCGCACATCTGGCTGCAGGGGACAAAGTTTGAGAGCAGGTTCATTCTACCGTGATGGGGACCGGCAGCAGCTTTAGCTCATAAATCCTGAGAAGTGAGAGCTCGTAAATCCGCTCTGTGTAATTTATACTATTTTATTCCTGCGTTTAGTAATAAAACACCTAAATCTCTTGATCTGTTTTTTAAATATTATATTCATCTTATTTCTATTCTGCTCCATCCATTTATTTCCTAAGATCTTGGCTATAGTGGAATCGAAAATTTTATGTTGCAGTTTTTATAGTTTTAATTTAAATCTTCCATTCCCTCTTTTTCTGAATTAATAATATTTTTCAAGCATTTTTAGAGCTGTGGTGTAAATTTTAATACTGATAATTTCTACATATTATTGTGGTTTTTATTTCAGCAATTTTTATCAAGCACAAAATGAAATCAGGACTTTTCTGTTTATAAGATCAAAATTCTGCTTTTGAAATGTTGCCTCAGGGGCAAAGTGAAATAAATAGAAAGAGTTCTCCTTCTCCTTTTATTGCTTGGAACCACATTTTACTGTGGCTCATTTTCTACTCTCAGTTGTAGCTGTGACCTTTTTTTTAAAAGTATGGTTGGTGGAGGTTTGGCAGTTGTGTGTTTAAGGAGGATTTTCCTCTTGTATTTTTTTTTACATGAAGGTATTGTGATGTGAGTGAATGGATGAACAGCCGCCCCAACGACACCTCTCCGCCTGACCTTTCCTCTTCATCATTTGAATAATCCAGAGCACCCGAAATCCATCTGCCCCTTGTCTCCCCCTCAGATTGACTGATTCACCACACAGGGCCAAAATGAATAGAGGAGAGAAGGAGGAAAAGAGGAAAGTGTGTTTAGACAGAGATTAATAACTTCAATGAGTTTGGATCCTGCACACACGAAAAACACAAATATGTGTAACATGATATTGTGCATTTATTGGAGTTCAAAGGGTGATTTGATGAAATGAGAGAAAATCTGATTCTCTTGAATTGCACAAAAATTTCTCCCATATTTCATCATCAGATCAAAATCACATTCAAGCAGAAATATTGTTGGAGAGGTTGTGATTGTAAAAAATAAAAGATTTATTTTCCAGCAGTCATTAATTCAAAAGCTATTTTCAGCCTAAAAATGTTTAATTCAACTCAAAGTGTTTTTGAATGAAACATTCAGTTTTTTATACACAAACTCCAATTATGCTTAAATGATATTATTACAAAAATAATAAATGAATAGACAGAACTGAGCAAGCCAATGAATGTAATTCTCAGCCTCTCATCTCCTCCCTTTTTCTCCCTCACTCTGTATTTCCTCTGCTTTCTATCCAACACGATTACGGCCTTCAAACCCTCCGTCATGCTCGCAGTACGATTGAAGTCGGTTTGCTCCCTCAGTGGAAATGTTTTTATTAATTTCAAGGTGATTAGCTTAATATTTTTTTTAGAGATTGTAGTAGGTCATGTATTTCATTGAGTTCAATTATAAAGATGTTGTTTTTTTCCGGATAAAGAAAAGACTGTGCGCCCAGGTAGTAGCTTGGGTTTGTCAGTGCTGGAAATAGGTTAAAGCAGGTCTGATCCAATAGGTCTATAGGGGGCACTTTGGTTTCAGTCTTGAGCCACGACACCGATGTGACATACTGTGTCTGCAGGGCTAAATCTGTTTATACACTCAGTGAGAAGTGTTTTTCAGGCTCTATATTTTTAGTTTTTTTTGTCAGAGAAGCTGAGAGAGAAGATCTTTGTTCTCATAAATGAAACTTGTTTTGATTTATCAATATCTTCAATTATAAATGTCCTTTCTGGAGATGTTCATGCGATCCCTGAACATCACGGATGAAATCACTGGATCGAGGCCATCTCTCCCCTCCGTGCTCGTGTATGAGCCTCTTCAAACCACTCAGTTGTTGTCTAACCTCTTAATGCCTGATTGAAACTGCATCCTCGAGCTTCCGCAATTACAATCAACAGCAACCGTCATCAGGCCCAGCGCGGTAATCGAAAAGACCTGGACACCCGCACCACCACTAAAACATTGGCAATTACCAACCGCAAGGTCAAACCGCGTCGTTACTGGTCTGAGGTGAAGTGTCTTGTTATGAAAGCACTATAACAAGATGTAGGCATCCTTTCAGCTCTGCCCATTAAACACCTCAGGCTAAATGTCAGGGCTCCACCATTTTTATTTTTTATTTCATTTTCAAGTCGTAGATTTGATTCACTTCAACCATCAACCTTTCAGTATTGCGAGCAGACAATTAGGAGCCTGCTGATGTATTTGCACACTGTTATTGATATTTTTCGTAAATGAGCTGTTGGGATGTATGTATGTTGGCAAGCATGATTTATTTTGAGTAAAATGTGTTGGAACAATAGTATATATATGTGTTTTTAAGAGTTAAAGACAAAACTAACACTGCAGGATTACTTATGCAAGCAGTTAACAGCAAATACATTTGAGGTGTCATTAATTTCCCTTCCCAATTATTGCTTTTAATTATTGCTTTCAAAATGTTCTCTGGGGTCCTGAGGGAATTTGTCATTATGGTAAATGTCCATAAGTGGACCAGTTATCAACAGCAATTCTTTAACCTGCACTGATAAAAATCTCTTGGATGATATTACAGCACATTAAAAACAGCTCTGCCACAGCGAGACAAACTCTGCACCTCCCCGTCTGAATTAACATGCAGCGTGGGTGTGAATATTTGAAAAGGCTTTTTTTATTCAGCCAGTGGGTGATGCACGAAAGTCCAGTCTCGGGCCACTTGTGTCTCTAAAGTCCTGGTGGCCATTAGCCGTGCGACTTGGGCCGGGGCCTAATCCAGCCTCAACTCAAGACCAGAGGAGCTCATTAAGCCCAAGCTTTTAGTATCCCAACCTCCTGTAGCTGCACAGTGCCAGCTCGCCCCATGCCAGCACTAAATGGGGTTGTAAATATCTATAGTGGGGAGCAGTGTGGAGACAGCACTGGACAGGGGCTGGTAATAGGGGTTGACTGAGTCTGAATGCACATTATAAGGCCAGTATCAGAGCTGGCTAATGAGTGGGGCCGGTCAGACAGTCGTGGTGGTGGTGGTGGTGGGTTTGGGTGAAAGCAGCTCTCATTTCTTTCTCACTGCAAAGTCAAGACAAGCCTTCAGGTGAAAACTGATGCACTGCAGACTTGATATTGCGGCCGCTCTAAATCAAAAATGACTCCATCCATCAGGACAAAGACAGAGGAGCATCCCTCACTGCCCTGACAGTGTTTTCTCTCTCTCTCTCTCTCTCTCTCTCTCTGTGTTTCCTCCAGAGGGGCAGCCTGACCCAGATCCCCATGGTGAAGGAGACCAGGGTGGAGTCGGGCCAGTTCCTGCTGCTCTCCGTCCTCTGCATGCTCTTCATCCTGGTGGCGCTGGCAGTGTCCGCCACCTTCTTCTGCGTGCGCCAGCGCTCACACCTCCACATGAAGGAGAAGCTGGCCAGCCTGGGGACTGACACCAGCACCGATGCCACCGCAACCTATCAGGTTAGACCAGCCCCTTTGCTATGAGCCAATCAGAGGCCAAGACACTTAACCAGCTCTCTGCTATTGGCAGAGCTCACAGTCTGTTTGGATATAGTTCAGATCTCATTGGTTTGTGGGAGTGCTTTTGTTAATTTGCACGTTTGACTGATTCTCTTCTATCTGCATTTATGATGGTTTTAGGCTTCTGTCATGATAGTGATGTACTTTTTGAAAATCAAAATATTTTTTAGTGATGCAATTCATATTCAATTTAATTGTTTTTATCACTTTTTGTGTTTATTAACATAATTATTTTTTTTCTTTATATCTTGGATTTTTGACTTCACTAGATATTTACTGCATCCAATTATTCAACGATCACCCGTGCCTGAAAAGAGTGTGTGTGTGTGTGTGTGTGTGTGTGTGTGTGTGTGTGTGTGTGTGTGTGTGTCTGTCTGAGAATGAGAGAGAGAGGGGAACAGGACGCTGCTGTGACCTATTCCCACTCTTCCTCCAGGGCCACGGGGCAGCCTGGGCTGTATTGATTTTCAGTGTTGGGGCTCAGCTGTGCCCAGCGTGGCACATTTATCTGCATGTCGCGTTAACATTTTCAATATTTAATCAGGTTTTCACAGTGCTACTCCCCCATCAAAAGCTGGTGTAACAGTCTCATAACAGTGGTCATAGAAAAGCAAAAATAAGCAAAAAAATACACAAATAAATGTTTTTTTCACCACTAGAATGTAACTTTGTGTCCATTGGCATTTGTATTATTTATATTGTGTTTAAAATATCTTCTTGTTGTGCTATAGTGCATTTTTGGAGTCTGTATGGCACCTGTTCTTTATCTTGAGATATGGAAACCTGCTCTGTCAGACACTGGGTGGGTGTGTTCTCTGACAGATACAGTTGTTGGCAGTGGGATATTGTTAAAGAGCAGACATTGTTTCCTCTTGGCCTGTTTTCATTCTTATTAGTGGTCTGGAAAGAGAGAGGGACAGGGGAAACTGTAACCCCTTGACCTCTGTTCCTGTCTGAGCTCCATGTGCCTCTTCCTCTGGTGCTAACCGCATCTCCTGCCCGCTTCTGGGACCATTTCTCGGCTCTAGTCCAGCACGGCGCTTTGCAGAGATGTTGAGAAGTGGGATGAATTATGAGGTGGACCTGGATATTGCCCCGAGGCCGAGGCCCAGGGCGCCACTTCATGGCTCTAATCATTAAAGTCTATCGGCGGTAAAGCTGAACCAAGACCAGGGCTTAGCGAGGCCTGTGCTCCGGAGGGAAATATCGCTATGATAGATCATGTGATAGCGTGTGCTTTCACAGGGCGGTTTCTCTGGCCTGCTCTGCCCTCGCTGTTATTAATTGAGTATGGATATGAATTTGGTGGAGATGAGTGGCTTTGCCTCCCAAATCCAAACACGACGGGGTGTACAGATTGTGAATTCAACAGAAAAATACCAGGAGTGACCACACCCTCTGTCTAGATTTTTTACTTTTTATTTTATTGTGTAGAGTCTAGAGTAGATAATGCCTCGTCCTCATATTTCTGATGCCTTGCCTCTGCACTGAGATGCGATGGGAGAAAAGCTGAGTCATTGGGAAAAGTGTAATCTTCACAGCAGTGACTCTTTTAGCATATATCACCTGGATATATCAATCAAAACTGAAAATTATACTTTACAATTGTGCCAGTGCATTTTTATCTCCTTTGCTTCTGTTTGGTTATATACATCCATATTGGAAATCTTATTTGATTGATGGATAGATTCTCCTGTTGTGCTTATATCTTTAGCCAAAATGCATCCAAGTTATTTCCCCTAAAGTTTGAGTGTGTGCAATTTCATGCAGGATTTTTTTTCAAACCAAAAGATCCATTCACAAACACTGAGGACAGTCACTGTGCAGCAGCCAGGTGGGACTCACTGAATTTATTCTATAAATCGTGCAGGGCTCCTCAACCATGTATTTTTTGACGTAATTAGTATAAGCTCCATAATCCACAAGGATAAGCCATTAATCTACAGACAAGTGAGGAAAGATCAAGTCCGCCTAGATACAGGATTTTACAAGGTGCATTTACAGAACTCAGCCCCTAAGAGCAGGGATAAGCACGTAACGTACATAACACTATTGTTACGTGCATAAAAAGAAGATAAATACACAAAATCTGCAAGGAAATGGAATCAACCATTTTGATGATCCAGTGCTTCACCATCTTCTCCTCTAATCTGCGCAGGAGCTGTGTCGCCAGCGAATGGCGATCCGGACATCTGAGCGCGTCGAGCGGCCGGAGACCCTGCGCCACTCGCGGCTCAACAGCGTGTCATCCCAGTTCAGCGACGGCCCCGCGGCTAGCCCTTCGACCCGCAGCAGCACCTCCTCCTGGTGCGAAGAGCCAGTGCCATCCAACATGGACATCTCCACTGGTCACATGATACTGGTAAGGAGCTTGTTTTGACTCCAAAGATCCATCTTGAATAAAAAGATAGATTACTGAAACAGTTGAAACACCAAAATAATGTATCAATGGTTGATGTATGTGTTTTTCCAATTGTTTTTTTTCTATAATTATTTTTTTAAGCAAAATCCATTCTACAATTAATTCAAATGAACACACTTAGGGGGTATTTGATTATCTGCAGGTCAGATATGAAAGGCTTGGCACCGCTGATCTACACAATCAGATTTTTCAAATGCATAGTGAGCTCACATCATAGTGTACTCTTTAAAAACCCTTTTTTGAATATGCTCGACTCCATGCTGAAAACCAACAGCTTGATTTCTCTCTGTTTATCTGTTCGGATGTGTCTCATCCCTCTCTCACCTCATTCCCTTCAGAACCCTGTTATCTTTGTTGGTTTTTTTTCCCATCACTCTTCCCGTGGTTTTCTCCCTCTTGCTTTATCTCGGGCTCTGTTGTCTTCATTTTTTTCTTCCTCCCAACTTTTTCCCCCCTCTACTGTGTCATTGTCTCTCTTTATCATCCCGTCCTGCCTCTCCCCCCTCTGTCATTTTCATCCTTTACCCCCCTCCGTCTCTCTCATACTGCTGCAGCAAAAGAAATAAGGCAGACATTGTTTTTGCCTGATGAGAGCTGCTCAAAAGTGAAATGTCATTACCCATCTGATTCTCATTTGGATGTTTTAGAAATTTTCTCGAGGTTTTTTTTTTTTTTTTTTTTCGAAAAGGGGGTGGGGGGTGGGGGGGTGTTTGGTTGCCAACACGTCTACACACCCACAATGGATTGTTTTAATTTTGCACAACTTTGCAGCTTCATTCATTTGAGACAAGCTTGATAAAAGAGATGGATAGATGCCTTGCAGTGTTTCCATTAATGGAGAGAGCATTCATCACACTGCAAGTCTAGCTTTTATATTGGGAGGCTATAATGAATGAGGGTGAATCTGAGTAATGCCTTGTATTGGTGGTAATAGATGGGTTTTGTTGCACTCGTCAAGGCTTGTTTGTGAAGCCCCTTTTGAAAACATTGACAATAGAAGAGCATTTAGCCTTGCAATAACAAAAGAGCCAGTGTGAATCATTTCTAGGAGCTGTTATTATTAGCCCCAATTTCTTCACAGCAGCAGCGGTGCAGGCATTATAATGTAGAAAGGTAAAACACACAGGGACCTCTGCTTCTCTTTCATGCTGTGATTGACATGGCGAGGTCCTATAGGGGTTCTTCCTTAAAATTCCGCCGACATCTCCCATGAAACCATGTGTGAGATTGCCTTGTTATCACTGATCTCAGAGCTATACTTTCCCATCTCTGCTCTGCTCTCCTCTCATCTCCCCTCTTGCTCTTTGGAGCACACACCGTGTGGAGAGGGATGATGAATACCCGGCTTTCCAATGCACACACGCTGTGGGTCCTTTTTCTCGAGGCCTGATCACGCCCCGCACACAAACACACGCACGTATACGCACACACGTACAACCACGATGCTGCTGCGAGTGTGTGGTGCCATGAGGGTAAATGAGCCAGGATGTCGCACCCTGCTGTGCAGCCCACCTTCAGACTTAAAAACTCTTGCATAATGACTTGCAACTTCAGAAGTGAAATGCGATGCCTCTGTCTGCTGAGTCATCTGCTGTGTTTTTCAGAGTTTTGACACACCTCTGCTGTCTTGCGTTCTCCGTCTTCTTCTGTTCTTTCCCCTTTCGGCAGCAACATGATACTAAAACCATGCAAACATTTCAAACTCAACGATTTCAAACATTTACCATATGTTACATGGAAGCATGTTTTTCCACGTGGCTAGATTTAAGTCTGTGTGGCTGTTGCACTGGTTCCTTCAGCACCATGGACAGCACTTCACAGTAACCACGCTTACTTTTTCCTCACAAACCCAACGAGACGTTTGTGTCCGTGTTCCCCCGCTGAGCAGAAACAGGGTCAAACTGCTGATGCCATCACTGCTCTGGTAGTCTTTCCTTGCTTTAATCACCTTTCCTCTTAAAAAGAAAAGAAAAATCAATAATTATGTAGCTCCAGGCTCTTTTTCATTATGTTGAGTAGTTATTGGTCTTGTTTGTTTTTTTTTTGAAATGATGAATTATTTGCTCAGAAGAAAATAGACTCAGGCGAAGGAAAATAGCCACTGACTCATGCGATATGTTCTGCCCTCAGTGACTTTTACTGGCAATTTTAAGTTCAGTTGAGCAAGTAAACCCAATTTGCTGTTCCATTTAATACAAAACAATGTGTGCTTTTCATTGAGCTATTATTAGTCACACAAAACATGCATATTAATAGTTTTTTTTTTTCAACTCTCACGGCTGTTTATCAAATCATAAAGCTCCCTGTACAAACTGTTATCAGTATTGTTCATTTTAATTTGACAGCGGAGCCTGACGGTAATAAGTTACCTGTTGTGTCTGGCTGCCCCGGTTCTCCCTTCCTCCTGATTTCACCCATCACCCTCTGCAGCCGAGGAGACTGCTTAGGAAGGATTAGACATTGTTTCCCTGACACCCAGGCCTCCCATCCCAACCCTCTGATTGGCAGACATAATCCCCCCATTCACTAAACCTTCGTTACCCTGTCTCTGGAATACGCCATGGTCCGCTGCCTCCCCCTAGAATCGGGAGGGCTTGATAAGGGCCTGCTGGCTGCATCACATTAAGCTGCAAAAAAAAAAAAAAAAAAGAATCTGGAATGCAATCGATTGAGAGCGTTGTATGAATTGGAAAGGAAGCAATTCAGAGTGGATGTATCAAGCACATGGAGATGTAATATTGGTAGGGAAGGTGGAATGCTGTCAGGCTGCGAGCAGAGAGCACTTGTACAGGGTGACAAGATCATAGTAGTGACAGGCTCTGTCAAGTGGCCATAATGGCATGCTGTCATTTCCCTGGCACCGTGCATTTGCGCATTTGCCTGCCATTACAATGACATTAACTAGATTTCTTTTCATAATTGTTGTTTTTTTTCTGCATGCCTAAAATAAAAGTACAAAGCTAGAAGGTTCAAAGTGTAACAGCAGGAATCTTCAGTAGTATTTAAGAGATACTCCTTCATGTCATTAATGGATTGAGATAGAACACCTCATGCTGTTATTATGCAGCCGCATTAATCACTAGAGTTGTTTTTCTGTGCTCTGTGAGGCTTTTAAGACCTGAGTGGCACCTTTGGTACCACATCCAACAATAAACTTTGATTTCCATTGTCTGCAGGATTTGTAATGTTCTCATAAGCCACCTAATATCCTTTGCATGCATTGAGGAGATGTCTGAATTCATGAGCCATCAAAGGGTAATTGCTTATTATATGTCGGACAAGCTTATTTGTGATTATCATCTTGGTGGTAATTCTATACATTCTGCGGAGACTTGGATTTCTGTTTTTGACAGACAGGAGTGAATATGTCGCATGTAACAATGGAGCGTAACCTCTGCTCAGTCTACGTATACTTCCTTTAATATGGAATAAAAACGCTGCACATCTGGGTATCACTTTCATTGTATTATCCAGCTGATCCCTGACATCAGTTTATGAGTCTGTAATCTTCTGCCTCACACAATAGCGGACTAAACCATTTAACCCTGTCGGGAGGGGAGCCATGATACAGGAGAGAAAGCGAAACGTGGCGCAACACAAAAAAAAGAATCCTCTTGCCAGATATACAGCCTCTCAGCTCCATAAGACTTGCCCTGGTTTAGAAGAACATGCTCACACACACATGCACACACACAGGCCTCTACCCCTCCCCCCTTCTCTTTTTCCATCTTTGTCTCTCTAGCGAATTCAATTTTGTCTTCTCCAAGCGAGGGCTTAAATGCAGACAATCTTATCAGTGGCTGTGCAAGCAGTGAGGGACGTGATTGAAACACCCCTGAAGTATTTCCAATGCAGACAAACCTTTCAGGAGTCTTAATTGTGCGTGATTTTTCTTTTTCTCTCCCGCCCCCCCTCGGTCAAACACGTGCACAAACACACAAAGACGCAAACATCAGCGCACCTTCCTCACCTAAAGCTCCAGCAGCTTCCTCCTCTTCCACCCAGTTGTTATGCTGTACAGCAGCCTGAGACAATAACGCACCATGACACCTGAACGCAGCTTTAGACGGGTGCTGTTGTCAGGGATTTAGTCGTTCGCTCCAGTTTATTTATTGGTTGGCTCATATTGAGGAAACACAATGACAAAGAAATAACAACCTACTTGCAGCCAGCTCTGATAAAGTAGGAGTGAATTATTTCAGGTTTCTCTTTCCATTAATCAAAAGTTTCTGAAAATGCAGCCGTATTCTGACATAAATTGAAATTTCTTTCAATTGCTTTTGGCTTGTCCTTTGAAATGGCCGCTAAGATGCTCCCTGTCGTCCTTTAGTCATACATGGAGGACCACTTGAAGAACAAGAACCGGCTGGAGCGTGAATGGGAGGCCCTGTGCTCCTACCAGGCGGAGCCCAGCGCCTGCAGCGTGGGACAGGGGGAGCAGAACTCCAAGAGGAACCGCTCAGACGCCGTGGTCGTATGTGAGTGCACGCATTCACACGTCAGTCCAGTTTTTTGTTTTCATTTGGAAGTGTAGAGCGATGCAGCGCAGCTCATTCTGCTGCTGATATGTTTGTGAACAGATGCTTCAAAGAGCTACACAAAAGCAGTGGGTAAACAAGCCTGAACGCTCATGTTTCCATAATGAGATAATGAATTGGAAAGTAGAACATGTTTCCCAACAAATCACAAGTTGTAACTTGAAGATTTATCTCCAGTGAAAATCAGTAGAGATTCTTGTCATTGTGATGAGAACTTGGTTTTTTTTCCAATGCAAATCAACTTGTTTAGAGACTTGAAATTAAATTGCTGACAGATGGTGAGTTGCTCAGTTACTGTCAGTCAAAGCAGATCAAACCACGCCCACAGCTTTTCATTTGTTAACTCTAATATGATCTAAAAAATAAGATAGCACTCAGTAGAGAGCAAACCTCCGCCATGGGTCAACAGTCCCCTGAAATTAATTTAAGCCACACCAATTGGGACACACTTATAGATATCAGCTCCCAAAAAGTTACTGGAAATAGATTTTATGAAGCTTGCAAATGTTTTACTTTGAGAAAAGAGAGGCTGATGTGATTCTCCCAACTTTTGAGATGAAATATGTATCATTATTTCACATTCCTTATTGAAGGTGAAGCGATTCAGGACTTCAGAGTAGTCAGTGTGTGTGTATGATGAAAGTCCGGTGAAATTGCCGTCCCTGCAGCCAGTTACCGTTTCATATTCTGATGCTGCTCAGAATTCTGTTGTTGTTGTGCAGGCAGGAGAAAACAGAAACAGTGGAAATGTGTGTGGATGAATTATGCATCTCTATTACAGATGATCACTCCAGGATCACCTTGAAAGCGGAGAACAACCACGGCAACTCAGATTACATCAATGCCAGTCCAATCGTGAGTATTGTTTATTCATTACAGTGCTACGTTGTGGCTAATGTCTGTTGTCCCTGAAGCCTTTTTTTGTACCAGGAACACCTGTTGTGGTTGGATTTTACTTTGAGATAAAAGACGTTTCAGAGGATTTGACATCAATCCAACAGCGTTTATCTCTTTTTATTTTCAACTTTGTTCTCATGACTCTGTTATCACTTCGTCTCATTGAATCACGCTGCTACTTTCACTGCTTTCAAAATGGCTGCTCCCTGGAGCCCTTTTTATCTGCACTGAAAAGGAATTATACATTATTTTTGACTAAACAAATGTATCCTCCACAAACCCAGAAAGATCTCGGTGTAGGAGCGAGCTACGTTTTTAGTTTTTGAGCATTTCCTCCCCAAAATATTGCCGGTCATGATTTCCCTGAGGCTGCTGAAAGGGGATTCTATCAAAAGGGGAACAGGAAACTATGCATTTCAAATACAGTGCCAAAATTTCCAAGAAGATAGATGGGAACACACACAGCTGCACTAAAAGCCTATTACTCTTCAGAAGCAAACAATGGAGACTCTTAGATGCTCAATTTATTCCTCCATCTTCTCTAATGGCATATTCATAGAGGTTTTTAGCTTTTTTTAAACAGTGCTGTGGCGACATTTGGCATATTATAGAATAATATGATAATGAAGTTAATCAATCAGGGGAAGAAGTGAGGAAATAAATCAGATTGTGTGTTAGAAAACTGCACATAGTAAAGTTACCCAAGACAGTTTTGTGCAGTTTAAAGAAAAGGGGATGGTGAAGATGGGTGAAGTAATGGCGGATGCAGTGGTGTGCAGATGAAAGGGCGGTAATTACACCACAAAAGGGACCCCTGGGTGAGCCCAGCAAAACTGTGATAATTATGTCTGTCAATGTAGCTTCTTCTTCCTCATTAGTTTCAGGGGCAGTGGGCTACGAGTAAATAATCTGTCGCCTCTTTTCTGGGGATCCAGGGTCAGAGAGGCAAAGGGACGGGGCTGATCTGAGCTGCCTGCGAAGCTCAGGGTGACACACACATACGTGGAAAGGCTCGGATAATGGTTAATACTTGATCACAAATGATGCAAGAGCTCCCACATGTACGGTGTCATTAGCATCAGGGCTGGTTTGAAGGAATGCGGGCTGACACAAAATGTGGTCAAAGCCTGGTTTTTGCCTTTTCTTTTGCTTTTACAAAGTCAAACACCGTGTGGCTTTTTCCTTCTCCCACCTGTTCTCCGTGCTTTTGTTTCCAAACTATCTGGGATGAGCTGAAGCCGGCATTTAGCTCCCGAGCTCTCTATCTTATATAAACCCAGGATCAAGGTGCTACAGCGTGTTCAAAGCTGCAGCGCTTCTGCAGGAACAGATATTTTGCGGGAGCTATTTTAGTACAAGCTATTTTACCTCAAACCAAAGAGCACTTCTTTGTCTTTCTTGTTGCACTCTCCCTTCTTCCCACAATGGCGAGGGGAGGACGGCTGAAACGCAGGACTACTCTTTCATGCTTGTGCTTTAGTATTCATACAGGGATGTCAGCGCACAGCTACAGTATGTCTGTGTCCTTGAGATTGGCAAAACGGAGTGGCGGCGCTAGCATTCGGCACCACCCTTTCATTTCTGTTTTTTTTTAAACTCACATGAGGAATTTCTGCCCAGAAAGATGAAGAGAACATTGAACAACACGGTGAGGGCTAATTGAAGTCCAACACTGGGTAATGAACAGTGTTTCATGCATTTACGTGTCTTTTGTGAGGCATTTTCAACAGAGAGGCAGTCAGACTTTCACTGTTCAGCCAGCCTTTGTGTAGGTGTACTAAAAGACCATTTCCAGTTACTCAGGCTTCACCTCTGCCCCCCACTACCTAATAATCATTACGTTAGACCTGCAGACACCCAGAATGAACACAAACATCTTGTCTATAAACACCTAATTCAAGTAATATGTATAAAGAACCATGAAAAACAAGTTCACAAAGAAAGGAAAAGCTGTTAATTATCAACCCTGCGATTTCTTGAGATCTCTCCTTTGCTAAATGACTCTGTGTTAGTCATTAAACGAGGGGGAGTTCTTTTGAGCACAACATCGACAATTAGAGGTCGCAATGCAAAAATGTATCATGAGACTCAACGGCAGGTAAATATGCAAATAATCATCATCATTTTCATTTGATCTTTTTTAGGTCTACCATCGATGATAGTAAATTAAATCCTTCACTAACACAGACACATGAGCCTTTGAGTGCATTGTGTTTCATTGCATACCTCGAAAATGCTTTGTTACCACACATACACACACACAATTTTCTTTCAACATCGTTCCAGTGATGCCTCTCGCACTCGAGGGTGTGCATAAAAATTCACTCAATAAAACGTGATCATTGATTTTGGAGGGGGAAGGGGGCGACCTCGTCCAACACCTACTCAATCAAGTCTAAATCACATCCCTCAAATCAAAGCCCCCCCCCCCCTGTCCTGTGTCATTATGTCCCACCTCAACATGCAGCTCCCTCATGTCAATCGCCTCCAGGCTTTCAGGTCCCACCACAATATCATGTTTCTTGCAGGAACATGTCAATGCCTAAGAAAAATTGAGCTCCGGAAGCCATTTCTTGAGGTCTATATTTGTCTGGAGACGTTGTAGTGAAGTCTGATCCCAACAACTGAAAAAATGATGAGATAATGTATTGAGAGTAGAGTCATAAAGGTTGTTTTTTTTTAAATTCATAGGGTCGGACGTTTGATGCGTCACTGCTGCTTTTACCAGAGTCCAGTTTTTATGCAAAACATAATATTTAAAGAGACAAGTCTTTAACATTTTACTACAAAAACAAGATATAAAACCATGTCCTTCAAATGTGTGTTCAGCAACCGCACTTTGCAGTTTATTGCACTTTTTTAAAAACTGCAACTTGAGGACAGAAGGGAACAGGAGGAATGTTACAAAAAGAGGCTGAATCAAACAAAGAGGGGATGACAGAGAATAAGATGCAGCGGAGGAAAGAAGTGTTTATCTCAAAAGATGCTGATGTTCTGTTTGTCCCTCCGTCCATATGGAGGCTCTGATGCAAGTCTTTTACCCAGACAGTGTGTTTTCATCAGCCAGTCTCTGCCCGAACGCCGTCTCACACTCTGTTCCCTCTCTCCCAGATGGACCATGACCCTCGCAACCCTACTTATATCTCCTCGCAAGGCCCACTTCCTTCCACCGTGGCAGACTTCTGGCAGGTAAAACTCATCTCCATTCACTATCCGTCTTTCTTTTTTTCTTTAACCATTTTATTTATGCAGAGGCGAGGGTTGGAAAGAACATCGACAAAGCGCTATGTCTAACCCAAAGGTTTTGTGTGGATGGGTTTTGATGTCTTCTTCTTGGCCCAAGATTCTCTAGATCTCTCAGGAAGTGTAGTTCCAAAACTTAAAGCAAGAGAAGCTCATATATGAGACGCTTGAAATAACTGTGCTGCTATTACATCTATTATTTAAACAGTGACACCAGCAGAATGCATGTAACAAACCTGCAGCCTCTTTTGTTATACAATAGTCTAGTTACACACATCTATAGGAAGTCTAATATCATTTATCATATTCCTGAGATTTGCTTAGATTAGCATTTTTCCTCTTTTATCTAAATGTCAGAGGAACTTGCCATCAATCACCAGCTGTTGTAAAACATGGTGACTTGTGTGCAGTTATTTCTTAAGTGACGCATGGTCACCAAATGGCGTTCTTATAAGTTAATAGGATGGCACTGTAGTCATTAGAGGGCCCATCACCTCCATATGGTAAAGGCTTGCTCGTCGTGACCAGGATGTAGAAGCGTGACACATAAATCCTGGTAGAGCAGCTGGCCGTGCACTCTGCACTCCGCACCTCGGGCTGAACAGTGCCGACTTTGCACCAGAGCCTGTTTGTGAGTCTGGTTTGGTTTTGCACATTAAAAATCAATATACTGGTCGATTAAATGGCTTTTTTAACTTAAAAAAACCCAATCCTGCGTACAAGCCTTGTTCTCAACATGCTAATGAAAAAGAGAAGAATTCAGCCCATTACGTAAAAAAATTACATTAATTGACCACATCAGCTAAAATAGGAATGAAAGCTGCCCTGCTCTCTGTTTAATTTGTGCCTTAATTGAAACATTGATAATTGTCTCTGGTTATTTGTTTGTTTTCCAGGTGAATTAATGCACATCCATCAGCTTATGTGCTGTTTAACCGTGAACTCAACTCTTCCCAATTAAGCAGAAAATAATGGAAAATTAGACACAGATCAGCCACTGCACTGAACATCAGCTCTGTCTCTGGGAAATAAGTAGTAACCGTTCATTATTCGATATGGTTGACCTTGGATCATGGCACACTCTCTCCTTCCATTAAAAGTAAACAAACAAGGGGAAACACCGACACTCTCATGCAAATGGACTGTGCAGTAGGCAAATCTTTTTGCTCTGTCCTCTCTAATCCATACTGGCCCCAGGCAGCGCTGTGAAAGGCGGCTCGGCTCTTAATCCTCCACTCCTCATTCCTCCATCCGTTCATCCTTCACTCCTCGATCCGTCTCCCCTCCCTCCCTTCCTCCATCTCTTTGCTATTACCTCAGTTCGACTGGGCCTCGCTCTCCTGCTCTCCTCAGAATTTAAATGCAAAAGAAAAACAATCAGCATAAGTTCACACAGCAGCATGTTGTTGGAACGTTACAACAACAACAAAAAAACTACACAGATGATGGGTTCTTGCTGAAAATGGAAAACAGGAATGCACCTTTTCCTCACTACACCTGCAAATATTAGCCATACTTTACAAGACTAAATGCATAACATTACCTCCCATTATCACCTTACCTAATCTCATCACATCCTGGCACAGTTGGCGTGTAATGTGTCCACTGGGCCGGATCACAGAAGCTTGTGGTTAGTGTATAGTCAGGGCCGTTGTGTTTTTATAGCAATCATAAAACCTGTGTTTCCTCCTCATTTTCCTAATGGCTGCCGTGGGCCTGTATTTTTTTCCCAAGGACACATTAGATTGTGATAAGATGAAATGGGGCGGCGGTGCAGTCGATGTTGTGATCTCACTCACATGACTGAGAGGGGGCGACACATGACGCGCCCTCCTGCTGCTCGACCCAACATTTATCATTTGTCACACGCGGAGAGGTGACATTTATTCATACTTCCTGCACCGAGATTAAGAAATCAATTTCACCCTGATACTCGACTGCCATGTAATGCTAATTTGCAATATGCCGCTCCGAGTGGCACAGGTCTGCCACGCGTTAGGGCCATTGTGATTCCAGATGCTTATGAAAGGGGTGTCGTCTCAGAAAGTGTGTCTGTGACGGGGGCGTCTGACATCTCTCCTCTGACGTGTAGATGGTGTGGGAGAGCGGCTGCGTTGTCATCGTCATGCTGACGCCACTGTCTGAAAATGGAGTGAAACAGTGTCACCACTACTGGCCTGATGAGGGATCTGATGTCTACCACATATACGAGGTAAGTCAGAGAGGTTTCAAAGCTTTCCTGTGTCTAGATGTGAAAATGGTTTTGGTTGTATGTGCTGCATTTTGATATATCTGTCTATTACAACAAATTTCGTTGGAGTGGTGGTGGAGCTCCTCTTTTCAGCCTCAGTCTGAAACAGTTGGGTTAAGCTCCTGTCTCTTTAAGCCCCCCCTGCTCTGATTGGTCAGCTGCTCCGCTCTGTTGTGATTGGTCGAGCATGCGTAGGAAATGTTGTCTTCATTTATAAGGCGTGTCAGACCAGCTGCACGGTGTGAGACGAGCTCCCCTCACTGCAGAGTTTGGGCTTTTTAACTTTGCAGAACTTTTACATTCACTAAAAACCCTCCGTAACACACTCGAGGAAAGAAACACTGACAAAGCACAAAATGTGTTTTAAAGAAATCCATCTTCCTCCTGTCGTTCGGAACAAAAAAGCTCAGTATGTGCACGAAAAGAATGGAACAAAGATTTATGGTTATTTAGGGAGAAGGTGCTTCCTAACAGCTGGGTGCATACAACCAAAACTATCTGCATGACTGGAAACAACTCAGGGTTCGTCAGAGATGATGTTTGTGTCATTTGTGTGAACTACCTCTTTAAATCAACATCATCTGCACAGTTTCTTCCTGACAAGTTGTGCTCTAACTTTTATTTGTTTTTATGTATCTATAGGTCAACTTGGTGTCCGAGCACATCTGGTGTGAGGACTTCCTGGTGCGGAGCTTCTACCTTAAAAATCTGCAGACCAACGAGACACGCACCGTTACCCAATTCCACTTCCTGTCCTGGATGGACCGTGGGATCGCCACCTCGGCCAGGACGCTGCTAGACTTCCGCAGGTAGAGTGGAGATCCTGCTCCAGATTTCAACACTTTTACAACTGGCCTTTATCCTGAGCTTGCTCTTAATCACCTTCCCTTATATTCTGTATTCTGTCAGTACCTCTCTGGTCCATTCTCCCTTTTGCCCCTCTGCCTTCTGGTGTCCTAGAGAATGGTTCTAATAAGGACTGTGTTTCTGTACTATCCCTTTCATCCTGGGCCTATTTCCCCTCACCTCCCTCCAGCACATGTGATGCAGCAAATTAACAGCCCCTGCACTTGCCTGGCTTGGCTTGGGAAGAAAAGGAAGAAAAAAATCACCTAATTCAAACACCCAATTAAATCAGAGCTGTCTCACTAAAACATGGGAGAGGGGGAAAGATAGTGACTGAATAACCTCACTCTGTTCTCCATATAATGTGTTCTGGCAGAAGAGAAGCAATCGCTCCTCTGGGAGAACCCAGGAGGGATAGGAAAAGACCTCCAAATGAGAATAGATGCATCTGATTTGTGGATGGAAGTCTATCCCTGCGTTTGTAATGCAGATGAGAGGGAAAAAAATGGAGGATGTGCAGTGTTATCATGTCATCCTTCCCTGACAGAGTTGGTGCTGTTTTTTTTATTTCAAATTAAACTGGGTGAAGCTTGAAAGCAGTTATATTTATATATGTTATTGGTGTGCAGGTTTGAGCTGTGATGTGATTACATACATACGTTTTATTTTTTGCTGCTGAGATTACCCCCTAATGACTAGATTCCCTTGATGTAACTTCAATTATGCTGCTGCAGGTTATTGGGAATCTAAACCGTACGCTCACGGTTGTCACGGTTGTCACGGTTGTCACGGTTTCGGCCAACTCTGTATTTTGCGGTTGCCAGTGTCATTTTTGTGATGTTGCAGCTAGTAATATGAGCCCAGTTGCATAGTCACAAAAGTGATCATTGGAAACTGTGTCTCCTCAGCCAGGCCTGTGCACAAACTGTCTTTCTCTCACTCCTGACTCTCTGTCTCCTCCTCCTCCTCTCACTGCTCCTTCCTCTGGCTTGCATGGGAACTCAAACCATCTGTGTGTGCTCTTTACCCAAGGACATATTCTTATTTTACCTATTTTAACATATTTGCAATAAAAAACGTCAATGCAAAATGAATTCAAAATTCCAAAAACTCTTTACTGCAATAGGAGTAGTTTAATTGCATTTTGATATTCAGCAATTTACAATACATGTTTTTGAATGATAAAGCCCAGTTTTTTTTTTTCACCTCAAGATCAAGCTCACAAGGACATCAAAGGGAGCGCACCTGCGCTTTGAAATGCAAGTTCAGTTCTCAGTTGAAGCTCTGAAGCAACGAATATGTAGGAAACTTCACAAAAACAACATATTAAGTAGAATGATTAAGAATGAATCAGTACAGGAAGCTTGAAATATATATAAGTGATAAATTAGTAATGCATGATATCAAATATGTATGTAGATATATTTTTTTAGAAAAATTTAAAATAATTGTAAGCTGCAGAACATTATCATGGCTATGGGTAGTAGCAGTGGTAGTAATAACTGACAAAAACATTTACATGAAAGCATTTTCATGCAGTATGATTTATGTTGCATTTATTTAATTATTCACATACTACTAATAATAAATCATATGCAAGTACATTCCATTGTCTGGATAAACTGCAGACTATATGATGAGATTTACACTCAGTAATTGTTCATATTGTGGATGAAATGTGAAAAAAACGAGGGAAGCGGAAGCTCTCAGTGTAGTCAGTTTCCATGGCAACGGCAGGTTGTGTGAAAAGGCTTGTTGGCCTTCGCCGTGCCTGTGGTGTACAACGTTCATAACTGGCCGGGGTTAATGCGTCGGTGGTGGGCAATCACAACATCGCACCGCCACATCCATCACCCACACGTCGCAGTGACGCTGTCTGGAGTGATGCTCAATTTATTTACGTGGTGCTGCACGGATGTCTCTCTTTCTTTCTCTCACTCTCCTTCTCTCAAATTAAAGTGATTGATCGACAGGAGGGTGGCGGCATCTCTCAGGATTCTATTCGTTCTGTCTGTTGATTATTGCTGTCGTTAATTTCATCCTGACGCCCCTCCCCCCCATGAGTCACATTTAACCACCTTTAACTGTCGCTGTTATTACTCAGCAAAAAATAATCGATCCTGTATCCAGTGTGAGATCCAACAGTCGGTGCATTTAAGACGCCGCGATGTCAAACTAATTGTAATCTTTCTCTTTTTTCTTATTCCAGAAAGGTTAACAAGTGCTACCGGGGTCGATCTTGCCCAATAATTGTTCACTGCAGGCAAGTATGAGTGTTTGAACGCTGTGACAATGGCTGTACGGGTGAACTGGGATACAGAGTGTTTGCCTGTGTTAGGAAGGGGGGTGGGAGGGGGAGCTGTTTATTTAAACCCAGTCAGTCCATTTACTCTACACGGGTCCACTGGAGCTGCTGTTGATTCCACTGCCTGTGTCAGTATGGAAATATTGTGGCTAAACACTCTTCCATTTCCCGTTTGGTCGAGTTAGTTAACCGACCTTGATTGGTTTGTATTAAACACAAGGTATCTGTCTTCACTACTTTTAATAGTCACATCCTGTTAAGTCATGCATGGGCCCGGGCAGCCCGCTCCCCTCTGAGGGAGCTGTGCAGAATGAGTGTCTAGCACTGGATTAATGAAGCACTGGTGCTCAGGCCACTCTCCTGTTTTATTGGCCTCGCCTTTATTAGAGAGATGTGCACGCCTTGTTTGCAATTAACATGCAGAGCCGTTGAATGGCCGGCGGGCACAAAGGGAGGCTTTTCATAAGACTATCTCTGGAGTAATGGAAAAGCAAGGCTCTCCAAAAGCTGTTCTCGAACCGCCCCTGGCCTCTCAACCTCTCCTCTGCTCCTGAGGTGCATGCATTTAAAAGCCTTTGTCCCCAGTGTGCCTCAGAAACCATTCCCCTCTCCCCAATAGCCGAGCAAGTCTCAAGACCACACATGCTCTCGTGTGCAAAGGCTTAACATAATCACATTTATTGGAACATCAAATATTCACATCTCTTCAGGTACTTTCAAAAGAATATCAGGGATTATTATCGATTACTGCTACTTAAGTATTTCATTTTATCTGCGCCATCAGGTTTTAAGCAGCATGCAGAGTTTAACGTGTGTTTGAATATACTCCACAGCCGCTCAGCAGATGTGCAATTTGTTTCCTCCTAAGAAAAACACTGTGAGATTAAAGCGTCCGCAGGTTCACTCTGCAGCCTTAATCATCTGGTCTCTCTCTCTCTCTCTATGACTCTCTGCAGTGATGGAGCTGGCAGGAGTGGGACTTACATTCTGATTGACATGGTCCTCAATAGGATGGCTAAAGGTAACGATCAATGGCTTCCCTTTCACTCTCTCTGCTTGCGTTGAAGTGTTGCCCTGGCAACGCTAAAGCCTCTCATTTTCCTCAGAGGGTCTCGGGATGCATTAGAGGCTGACTTTTCTGAGGCCTGGAAAGGCGGCGGGTGGAGACAGAGGCAGAGGGAGGAACAAACAGAGAACAGAGAAATGGAAAATGACAAAGAAACCTATAACCACATTAGTAATTATCTGTTTAAGTCACCGTCATGCCATATTGACCTGCTTCACGATTGCTACGTGAATTTAGATGGCACATGCATGGAAATGACATTTTAAAAGAGAAAATGCATCCCAATGGTTTGTATCAATATTTAATGGTAACAGTGCATTTATTTTATTTCATTATTGATTTGCTCTGAACAATCAGTATAATTTGCAGCCTATAGTCACTCTGAAGATCGTCTACATTGTATTTTAAGCAAATCCAAGATCACCTGGATTTAAACAAAGCTAAAAAGATTGAAAATTACTGGGCAGGAAAAGACCTGAAATGGATCTCTATCAACACATCATTACATATCAAAGACAAATGGTTTTAAGAAAGATTTGTTTTAAACGTTATCTTCCTTAGCTTCGAGAAGAAAAATTTGTGTCAGCAAATCAGGACTTGTAGCATTAGAGAAATAAACACAGTTTTCCAAGGTTCAACAATCCCTTTAAATCACAGCCACTCAACGTTAAACATCCAGAAATATAATAGATGCAATCTTCGTCCTTCTTCCCACCACATTTTTTGCAGAATGCTGCTGAGGAGCAGACAAACGGGTACATGTTGTTGCTGGTTCAAATGTATTAGTTTTCCTTTCCTATTTTTTGAGATATCCAAGTTATCCATGGCTGCAGTTGCACAGGAGTTGAGCTCCACTAAACGCTTCCATACATCACTTTAAAACCATCCATAGCTTAGCCCTGCCCCCCCCCTGCCCTTCGTCCTTTGACCTCTGCGCTTCACCCCCACTCCCTGCCTGCGATCTGACCCCGTCAGAGCAGGTTAGGAGGACACAACCGCCTGTGATGCATCCCTTCCCTTCACTGACTGTACAACAGTAATAAGACTGACCCCCGCTGATGAAGGTTTGTGTAGTTCAGTGACGAATGTGTCTTTGTCCCTGACGATGAAAGACGCCACCCAGCTTCTTTTTAACCTTTTGTTTCCCGCCGCAGAAGCGAAAATGTATAAAATGAACATAATCTCACTCTCAAAAGCTTTTTTCTTTGGTTGAGGAGCTTCTCTTCAGCTTAACTTTGGAATCCAGCCCTTCTGAGACATGAAAGTCTTGAGCTCTGGAGTAGTTTGAGTACCGAGTCCAGCTGCATTAAATCCCCCTTCGTCTCTCTCTCACCCACACTCACACACACACACACACATGTATTTCTGCTCTTACTCCATCTCTTTTGCTTCCTTTCTCTGCTTCTCTTTCAAAAGCATCTTGAGAGTTCAGGGTCTCGCTCTCTCTCCTTCTCTTTCCATTTTATTCTCTTTCTCTTTGTTGATTTTTTCAGTTGAGCTCTTGTGTTCTTCTCAGAATCCATAAATCTGAAAGTAGGATAAGATTTCCAGATTCACATGAGCCAAAGCTGACTTAACTCAACAGCAGCTGATCACTGCTGAGAGCGAGCAACTGTTGCACGGGTTAATCATCAGTATGGCTGCAGCGAGGGCTATAAATCATTTTAATTAGGGTTTGTTGATTCTCAGACACACACACTCAGATATTGTTTTATCAAAAAGCTCTAAGCAGACTTTACAGTTGGACATAATCTAAACCAATTCTTCAACGAGATTCTCACAGAGAAGGCAGCGCTTGATGTTTTTCAAATGCATTATTACACATTTCCCAGAATCCAAAAATATCCTCTTGCATATTTGATTTTTGTGGCTCTCGTCCAAGTCTTTCGAGGGATGAATGTAATAATTTTCAATCGCTGCACTGTTCCAAAGGGAGCCCGGCATAAAGAGAGATTGACAGATGTGAGCTGGATTACTCCGCTGCTTTGAACTCAGTCCAATTTTCGGTCTGTTGCAGGTGCTAAAGAGATTGATATTGCCGCTACCCTGGAGCACTTGAGAGACCAGAGAGCTGGCATGGTCCAGACAAAGGTAAGGTCCCCGGCTTTGAGTTGGAGAGGTGGGGGGAGCATGGAAGGAAGGAGGAGGGGAGGAGGGGCTGCAGTCATTCAAACAGACGATTGTGTACTTCATGTGCTCGGGATCAGGGGAAATGATGTGGTAATGGATAACTGCTTCAGGATTAGAACAACATTGTCTTAGAAGAAAGAAAAATCACTGCTCCACATTAAATTGCAAGGACTTAAAAACTGATGGAGACTGATTAGAGAAATATACATATTTCAAGATTTTCTTATTTCTACCACATAAAAAAATAAAATAAGCATAAAAAGAAAGCTAGTGAATCAAGGACATGAAACAAAAAAGCAGCAAATACAATGTCTGTATCCTCCAACCACCACGTTTGGCATTTTTTCATTAAAATTGACAAAAACTATAATTTCTTAACCATAAAAATTAGCTTTTTTTCCTTTTATTTATTTTTACCTGTGTTTCACATTCCTGTAAAACCCACACTGCTACTTAAACACTTTAGTCTCAACAGCTTATATCACAGTGAGCCCTCCACCGAACACCATTTTTTGAAAACACGTGTACAAAGCATTTCCTCTCACCCACTAATGCAAATAATAGGTGGGAAGTCTGGTTTTCTTCCTCTCTTGTAATTGGAAGGATCAATTATAATAGCAATAGTAATAATAACAATAATAGTAATAATAATAAAAGGCACACCTCATGCAGCAGTGGGTGATAATATTTATGGAGGCTGCCTGCTAACAGATGCCATCGTTTCCTAGGTGGCTCATTAAAGCTGCTTTTACATCTGTGCCTCTGTTCGACGCAGAAAAGCTTTCCGAGCTTTTTTCCCTCCCTCTTTTCTTTTCTGACAAGTCAAAGTGAAATTATATTGGAATATGGTTGATTCCACTCTGTGGCTTCATGCTGCGTCTACACTGAAATTAGACTGTAATGAGGTATGAAATGTTAGAGTTAGGTTTCAAGGATTGGACATCCAATCATTTTTGCCACTTTATTTTTGGAGCTTGCTAAAAAGCAAACCAAGAAATGAGAGAAGGGTTTTTTTGTCCTTCTTTTTCTGCGTGTGACATAAACATGCAGCGATTACAGCTTGTCTGGCCGGTTTTCTTCTTCCTTGCTCCTCGTCCTACTCTGATCAGTCAAGCAGAGATTGATCTCCCCCCAGTGGCGTGAATATGAACAGCAAGGCACGCAACAAACTTAATTTAAAAATGTTTTCTTTAATACTCAGAACTTTAAACCCAACGTGGGATTAGATATATAACTGCAGTGTGGGTATAGGTGGATGTACTTACATGCTTTCTGGCCGCATCGCAACATCAGAACACACATAAAAATAGAAAACACTCCACTGCATAGAGAAAGCCACCAGTGACTCCTCCGTATTGATTTAGCTTCTCCTCGGGCCAGACTATGGCAGGCTGTGTGTTGACACATCTAAAGACTGTTCCCTCCAAACTCCTACGTATCATTTCTCTGTGCGACGACCCCGTGGCCCGCAGCCTGGGGAGAGGAGAGGGATATAAAAACACTAGGTCCATGGGGCGAACATCAATCAGCCCCTTTTTGTGCTCCGCAGGGAAAACTATGAGTCGGATTCACAAATAAATGCAAACACACACACACACTGAGCAGAGAGACAGCCTGACTGAAAAGCTCCATTTTAAGACACACCTGGCTGGATCAATGGCAGCGCAGGGTACACGTGCACAGCGAGATGAAAGCTCAGTGCTTCACCTTCACCTCCAGTCCGTGGCCACACACATCCCAGGCAGGGTCAGGAGAGATGGAGGAGGAGGCGGCAGCTGCCAATCATTCTGCGGTGGCGTTCCTGAGCCATTACACAAACTAAAACTTTCTCCTTCCTTCCCCTCTTTCTCTCCCTGCATCTTCTCCTCCTCCTCAGGAGCAGTTTGAGTTTGCGCTGACAGCCGTGGCAGAGGAGGTGAATGCCATCCTGAAGGCGCTTCCTCAGTGAAGGCATCGTCGCCCCCCCACACACACTCACATACACACACCTTTTTCTCCCTCGATGAGCAACGGTTTCCTCTGCCCACTCAAGACTGACATCTCTCCCTGCCCTTCCTTCTCCTCCTCGCTCTGTTTCTCTCTTCTCTGTCGCTGCCTCCTCTTCACCTCTATATATACTGTATACTTATGAATGTCGTGCCAGATATTGCACCTGGATCCGTATTTGCTAAATCCGCCTCAGAGTACGGCTGTCAATCTGAGATCTGTGTCGATTATGTGATCTGGGGCCGGCGGCGATGTCTGATCTAATTTGATGGAGGAACTTAGATCAGCACTCCTACTGTGAGACTTTCCCCCGGTCCTGTATAACTGTGATGTTGTTCCTGATCAGTGCCACTGACGACATGTTTACGTGATATCAATTTTTTGTTCCAAAAACTGATTCTGATGCAGAGAAAATGACATTTAAAACTGTCATTTATGAAATGTAAAAAAAAAGTGTATCTACAGTGTCCCGGAGGCCACGTGAATGTCTGCATTTTACCTTAATTTGTCTAGTATTTCAAATATTCAATATATGACAAAGAAAAAACAATAATTGTCATATTTGAGAGGCTGGAAAGAAATAATAAACCAACTCATCTTTGCAGCTCTCAACTGAAGTCGTTTTAGAATAATAAAGCTAAGTTATCGCCTGTAAAAATCACATTACTGTACAGAATGTTTCCCCCTCAATGAATTGATGGCGTTTTTGGAAATAAACTCACGTTTCTTCCTCCTCCTCTGTGATCTGAATCAACGACTGTATACTCAGCATCACATGTATAGATGTTAAAGTGTATGTGTATTGTTGTATTTCGGGTGCGGACATCTCCGTCTCGTATCTCTGACTCGTAGAAAAGCCTCACGGATCACGATCATCGCAACATATCATGTGTTTTGTTTTTTTCGTTGATTTTACAGTTTAATTGTTTGTTACATGAACATCTCATGTTAGTAGTAAATGTGAAATTTACCAACTGAGATAGTTATCGCTTCTATTTAGAAATGTTGTCATCCTATATTGATAAAAAACAATATGATATTTAAGCAGAACTTATATTGGAGTGAATTTGTTTGTCCCTCCATCACTGGTATATTGTGATATTTTGTGCAACAGGACAGATTATTCCCTCAGTGTATAGATGATGAATGACCTAATGAATCTCTATATAGTGCGATCTGAAATAKATATATATATATATACTGAGCCTCAATGAGAACTATATATTTTGTGTGAAAAGTATCATTCAGATTGATAATAAATCCAAACAGATTATACCGCTGTGCTGTCTGGTGTTGAATGTTATTTGTGATGCGCTCGCTCACACACAAACAGGAGGAAGCCGGCTGCTCTCACAATGAAAGGCGTCTGATTGAGCGGGAGCCTTAGTAAAGTCACAAAGAAAAGCAGTATCATGCTCCCTGAGGGTTTCTATCTGGGAGAGACTCGCAGGTTTGTACAGATGAAATGTTTGGTTCAGCAGCTCCGTCTGTGGAGAGAGTGGCTGGGATTTGAAATGAAATCAGTCATGTATTTCAGCCACTGAGGTTCTCTCGCAATATCACAGAGAAGGAGGAGGCTCCCGAGGCTGCACAGTCCAATTTGATCAGTGCTTGCTGAAGGATGTGATGGTCAGCTTACTTGTTTGCAAAATGTATTTTAATGTATTTTTCTGATTTCAGGATGATTGAAGGTTCATTTTAACTTGAAGTAATAATGTCAGCTTCTTAAAGTTTACTTAAAGTATTTGAATATCACTTAATATTTGTTATTGATAATGCTTTCTGGGAAATCATTGGTAGATTTGTCACAGAGATAATTTGTTATGTTCATGTGAAATAAGTATCTCAGAATTTTAGTCATATGATGAAAAATATGTTACATGTCAATGTTACAGCTTTTTTTTTTTTTTTTACATTATATAAATTACAGATGCTTCAAAAATGTGTTATAGGGAATCGCCACTTTGACAAACTACCTTTGACTGATGATTATCTCCCTCTAGCCTGACATCTTCTGTTAGTCATTAATAAATGGTTCAGACATTAGTGACTCTAATTACACAAATTAAGTCATTTGCCATATTTTGAATTATTACAACTGCTAACTTAATTTTCCTTTATTATCTATTTATCAGCCTCTGTTTATGACATGTGACTTCAAATTGTTAATAAATAATAATTTATTAAATGACATAGTTTTTAATAAGTCGTAAAGTTTATTACTTTATTCATCTATGAGCCAAACAGCAGGTGTGGAGAAGGATAAACAGGTTTTTCACCACCTGGATATACCCAATTTTTTTTCCTATGAATAAAAAATAAATGCTCTAAAAATAGATAAATGAATGATTTATGAATCATTAATAACCTTAACTCACGATTTCTTAACTGCTCATGACATGGCCATATTAGAAGCACCAAAATAAATATTGTAATTAAACTGAAAACATCTGTATATCAACACATGGTGTATTTGCAGCTATGTTTTTGGTCGTCAGTAAAAAATGTAAGATTCTGAAACAGAAGAATAAATAAACTAACATTTGAGAGAAAGCATAAAAATTATTCTATTACCAAAGAGGTGCAAACACAGGAATACACATGTATAGAGAATATATTATATCCTAATACTTATGTCTGAATGCTGAGTCGTGTGTGTGTGTGTGCGTGCGTGGCCCATTGACATGTCCCTTCCTCCCCTGACAGTTCTAATAGCCGGGAATGAAGCTTCATGCACTTCCTGAGGCCTCATTTGCATATGATTCACTGATGAGCTGCCACCACTAACCAGCAACACCAAACCAAAGCCCTATTAATATTCCCCCATTCAGGTTGTAAAGCACACAAACCTAATCAGCTTAGAAATGACTATATGGAAACTATAATTACGCATGTTTAATTGCTTATCATCTGATGGGTACAAGTTTATTAGAGAATGTATTCATGGTAATTGCTTCCTGAGGTATCTGGTGCGCTACAATATCACGTGATATCCTGTCAGCTCCCATTTGGGAGGATTAATGCATTCTGAGAAAGTCACAAAATTAGATACTGTGCATTGCCTCCTTTGGATGCTTGGTTTAACTCAAAGTGATTTTTAATTTAGGGATTTCTAAATTACTGCTTAAGCTCAGATAAGTCTCTCGAGCGAGATCCGTCAAAATCAGCATATCTCACTGTTGTTAACGAGCGCAGGCGTATCACAGGGATATAAATGACTGCAAAGGAGGCAAATGATATGTTGTAATCATGATGCTACCAGAAAATACGACAAACAAAAACCTGCCTGGCATCGTCGAGACTACATTTCTACGACCAAATCAGGAAAATCAGGGGAAACAAAAAACTTAAAAGTCACAAGCATGAAATGAAAAACACCTTATGAGAGAGAGTTGTGATGGAAGCCGTCTCAAAGCCGATGAATCATGAAACAAGCGGATTAAAACACACAGTGCAGGTCCCTCGCAGGGGCCCTCATGCCGCCAAGAACGTTGAGTGGGCCTTTTCAGCCACAGACCTCAGTGGGTCTTACAGCTCCTGCCCACTCTCTGATGATCTCCCTGTGGTTCATTGTAATCACTGTTGGCTCGCAGTCCTTCCGACGCACTCGTAAATTCATGCAGTCTTGTAAGGAGATGCATCTTAAGTCAAGCCAGTATTTCTCCTCTGCGGAGAAATCTTTAGAGCAGTGATCTCTTACCCCAGGCTGCAGCTAGCAGGGGGATGTGGATTATTAAAGATCTGTTGTTTTTAGTAAACATACTATATTTAACCAAAAACAAATGTAAGCATAGTTCAGAGGTGTTATAAGATAATAATATTGATAGTTTGGATCTGGATGTCCAATACGAAGCTGGAGCGAGCAGCTATTTAGCTTAGCATTAAGAGTGAGAACGGGGAATTGGCCAGTCTGTCTAAACTGAGGTAAATTCTCTACTGTACCTTTCACACCTACGCTTTGTATTAATCAAATGAAGAAGTGAACATATAATTTAATTTAATTTTGAGGTGCTAGCAGGCTTTTTTCGCACAGCCAGGCTGAATAATTTTGAGTTTTTATGCTAAGCTAGGCAAAAAGATTTCCGTCTAGATCTTCATCAAACAGATAGATGCCAAACTGCTGCCATAAAACAAACTGTATTGTACTGTAATGTATTTTATTTCAGCACATGTCCGTTTCATTTTGACCTTTACATCAACTGTTGAGTGCATGACAAGAAGCTATAGCTAGCTGAGTAGTCGAAACGCAAACAGAAAAGGGAAGCTTGAAGTATCCAGGTTTTGTTGCCCCTAGTGGTAAAAGTACAAATGCAAACTTTTCATTTATGTAAGAAAGAAGTTGTTGAACCCCTCTCATAGAGCTTCAGTTGATCTCAGCCTAAGTTTGGACTTGTGAAAAGCTGATATACATTCTTCCTCAAATAACCTCATGGGTGAAATATTCCTTTCAGATATTGCGGATAACTCAACAAGCATAATTGATTTTCCTTATTAAACCATGTCATGCTGAATTGTGTTAGTGCACTTGACTGTAGCTTTAATCAGATCTACTTGTTTGCTTAAAAAATAATTGCAGAGTCCATTAAAACAAAATAAAGTAGCTGCTTAACCGTTCTCCTCACGTCCAGTTTTTGGATCCAAGTTCGAGAGGTGCTTCAGCACTCGAAGAAAACTAAGAAAGGCACCTGCTGATCATTGAACTTTTCAATGCTTACGCACAACATGCTGACAAACATGTCATTTCCCCGCGGAGCGGGTTGGGAGATCCCAGAGCTTTTGCTTGTTGGAAAAACTGTCTGGGACGGTTTCCAAGATTTCCCAAAGAGAAAAGCCTTGTTTTTCTTTGCTGGTGCTGTTGGGAGTGAATGGAGCAGATTGCAGAGGCTGTGTCTCTCATGTCTGTCCAAGGCCTCCGTACCTTTGATCTCCTCGAGAAACAAACAAGCTTTTAAACTTGGCACTTGCAGCTAGTGTCTCTTCTCCTCTTCCTCTGTCTGTGTTCATCAAAATGCTGATCCTGAGAAAATTGATCTCGCCTGAATAATTCCGCGTTCTCGTGCTTACGCTGTGATTTGAGGTTTGAAATGTGGGCTCCCACCATGTTGTCACAAAAACTTAGCTTGATCCACGTTTTATTAAATCTCAACATGGAAGCCAGATCCAAGGTGATGTTCGACTACACACAACACACAAGATATAAACTGATGTGATTTTACAGCCTCTTAACACAGCACAACATTGGTGCTCACATTGGAATAAATAACAACAAAAGCTTGTTTTTTTTTCTTAAGTTTCAACAAAAACCAAGACAGTTTAATCAGTTACAAAAAATGTTTCTAATGCTTCAAGTGGCATTTGTTTGAAATTTACCATATGAAATAAGTTCAATTCTGGTGGCTAGCTGCATTATAAGTCATCAGCCTCCTCCGTGTTAGTCGTTAAAACTTGGACATAGGACTCCTTTGACTGAAAAGTCCAGTTAAATAACTTTTCATCACACTGGTGTCAAATGGTTTATTTTTTGATGTGGTGAATAAGTAAGTAAATAAGTAAATCAGGTTGACTGAAAGTAGTTTTAAGAATTTAGCCAGATGTTATTATGGACTCACAAAGAAGGCTTTACAGATTCCTGGTGCCACCCAGGTGTGGAGCTGTCAGCTCACATGTAACATCAGCTGTTGTATTTCAGGTCCAGTCATGGTAATTGAAAGGTTCGGGGACGATAACAGCTGAAGGTGTAAAGTCGCAGCGAGGTCCAACATCTGGCTGAGCAGAAAAAGGAAAAGCCTTCAATCAAGGAACAAATCTCCTCTCATTACCCCCTCGCTTCCTTCTCTCTGGTTATTAATGGGCGTGCAGCAGCCACAGTGACATTTTACACCGTTTCATCCCTGTCCCATCGTGCTTCTGGGGATACCCTGGCATTTGGACCGCAGTGTTTTCATCATTGTCTGTGGCCGTGCTGACCAGCGCGACTTCAATCCTGCTCACTGTCACTCATCATAAGTGAGTTTATCAACACACATCTAATCGCCACACTCCGCCGG